GAAAGAGTCAGGAATATATTTATTTTTCCCACAAATGAACGAGCCAGAGATCCAGACAAAATTAGGCTTAAGCAAAGTCTAAATGTCAAGCACTAGTGTAGGACAGGGGAGACAGTTACAGGCTAACTTAAAGTTACTCTCAGGGGAGTTCCCCCTGCAGCTGATTCAGCTTGCCTGAATGGTGTTTTGAACTACAAAAAAAATCTGTCATACTCGAAAAAACTGATAGTGGCATAAGTGTCAGTACATAAGGTTCAGAATGACAGCACTAAGGAAAATGCATTCTCGAGTGTTCCATAGTTCTTTAAAAATTGTGAATTGGAGTAAACCCACCTGTATGCATCACTGCTATGTCCAGTCTCCGAGTTTAAAAATGGAAGGTCATCAAGTATTTCACAACCAGAGCTTCCCCCAGGTACTTCACCAGCTTGCCATTCTTCCGAGCATGCAAGTGGACAGGTCAGAGAGTGCACAACTCATCGGACTCACCTTGCTGTCGCCAGTCCTCCTGCAGCTTCAGTGCACAGGTGGGCAAAGTGTTGATCAGGTGACCACTGCCTTTTCTTTGTGTAGTAGCCATGGTGCTAGCAGTTCAGCTGTGGCTGGAGGATCACCAGGGCATTTCCTGCCCTTGGCAGTCACGTAAAATGGTCTTCACCAGACTCCAGAACCACACAGGTATGTGCAGATCCTGTGCTTGCATGTAAAGCATTTATTCCTCTAAAACACTTAAATGTTTTTCCTAGTCACGATTCCTGAAATGAGTGTTTACCAATGTTCCTTCTCCTGCAGATAAAGATGCCAACTAATTTGGCTAAAAAATTATGACTTCATTCTTCTTTGATTTCAAAACTTACTGAAACTTCCCCCTTTAAATAATGTAACATTCTACAGATTAATTCTAACAGATTTTAATTTTGGCAATGTTTTATTCTTCCTACTGACATGAAATCCAGCAGCTCTAGTATTTAGAGAGGACGGCTGGAGTGATACATACTCTAGTAGAAAAAAGTGCTGCTGAGTTGAGTGAAGTGGTTTCTAAGCCTGGTCTGAGTTACCCTTGGTGACAGCTGGAAGTGTACAGTTCTTAAGGGAGGCTGGAAGAAGGAGGAGTCAAGTGAGCTAGGCTGATTAGCATAAAGAGGCCGGCAGGAAATGACATTGGAGTTCTTTGACTAACAGTGACCAAAGCAGAGATTCTAAAGGTGCCCTGCTGTTGCAGTAATTAACTTCTGCCACTTGGTAATCAGAATGCAAACTGAAAGCAGGAGTTTCTGAGGCATGATCTTCCTCTGTACATGCGAAGTCTGAAAGGTATAACTGGAACTGGTAATGAGCTCATGGAAATGTACTGCTGGAACTTTCAATTTCTGTCAACACCTCCTAGTCTTCAGAAAGAAGCAGTTGCAGGGCAGTCTGCCTGCCAAAGCAACTATTTGGAGTTCTGGAAGAAAAATACACACAAAAAACATTATCTTGCCTGAGACCTCTCCTTTTCCCCCTTAGATTTCTCTATTGCTACCTCATGATCATAAGCCGAAGTTATTTTCAGTGTTTTCTTATGCTTGCTGTTTCATCACTGTTTAAAAGCATAAGCCCTAGACACCTACAATCCATCTTGGGAACCTTCTATGGCTGAAGTAATCAAGGCTGGGAGACCCTGCCCTTCAAGATTCAGGACTCTGTGGACTCCAAAAGGAGGCCATAGGCAGGACTGAGGAGAAAGAGCAGTTCAGTCCCAAAGTCTGGACCCTGCAGATTCCTGTGAATATTTGGAAACTGGTGCTAAACTTGACACCCTAACCAGAAGGTTACCTTCTAGCCAGAGCTGGGTGGGTGTCTTCCTTCGACTTTGAGACAATTAACAGTGCTCCGAGCATACTCAATTTAAGAAAACTCATATAAATTGTGAGATTATATAACTCCTATGATTTATTAAAAAGCTTTGATTTTAATAATTTATATATTACAATTGTCTACAGTGTAACAGGTTATAGAAGAGATTTGTTGATTCATAAGAGAGTCCTGCTATTAGAGAAGCACAGTGTCTGGCTTAAAGGCTGGTACTTACCTCATCTTTCACAAAAACCATGGTGGAAGGCTGTGGCTGTGGCGTTTTCTTCCTGAAAACATAAAGCTATCAATATTCTATTAAGCATGTTAATTATATAGGTAAATCAAATAACACATAAAAACTGTAAGCCAACCTTTGAAGAAAATGGACTTTTTAAAAAAAGTTTTATAATGAAAAATTTAAAAATATATAAGTAGAGAGAATAGCATAATAAGCCTTATATAGCCATCACTTTGATGCAATAATTATCAACTCTTGTCTCAACCTGTGTTTCATCACAGCTAGTTCCCTCCTCACTATACCATTTAATGTGAAGCATCCCAGACAGCATTACTTCTATAGATATTTCAGTATGTAATTCTAAAATGCAAGGACCTTAAAAAATATAACCATAATAGGACTCATATTTGTAACTATTAAACAGGGTTCCTTAATATTATCAAAATACTGAAGCAGTGTGCTTATTTTCTTGTCTAAGAAATTTTTTAAGAATTATTTTATTTATTTACTCATTTATTTTAATTTGACCAGAGAGAGACAGAGAGAGAGAGAGAGAGAGAAAGTGAGAAAGCAAACCACCAGGACTAGGACTTGAACTATGGTTAGACATGTGGGAATGTCCGGCTCCTTAACCACTGCACCACCTGCTGGTCCGCCTCAGAAATTTTTTATCTTTATATTTTTTCCAAATTGAGATCAATCCAAAGTTCCATACATTGTGTTTGATTAAGTCTCTTAAATTTTTAAAAGAATCTATAGGTTCTTCTCAAAGAAAAAATGTGGCTTAAAGATTACTATCTACATTTATGCTAATTTGTGTCTGAGTTTTCAAGGAAGCCCCTAAGATACCTCCATTTTTCTTGCACATGCATGTAAAGCTGGAGGAGAAAGAGAAGAAAAGGGATGATCAGCCAATCAAAGAGACCAAAACACCCAGCTTTCTGTACTATGTAACCTAGAGCTGGGTGCTGGGTTTGTATCTCCATTTGTCAAATGAAACAAACACTTGGTATGAAATGTGAGAAATTATTCAGCATTCATTCCGTGAATATAAAATCCTAGGAAGGAAAGAGTAGCCTGTTTCATCTTCCTTTAGACCCTGAGGGGAAAGAAAGAGGTTTAAGAGTGAAACCTGAGTAGGATTTGGAGGTTTATTTTAAAATCTAGGCTCTCAATTCTCAAATTTAGCTAAGTACTGTGGTTACCCCAGGACATAGTAAAGATATGTGGAGATTCCTGGGCCCCGGCTGCAGTCTGATGTCCAGAGTGTGATCTGGCCTCTATACAGACGCTCCTTACCTTATGATGGAGTTATGTCCAATAAACCCATAAAAAGTTGAAAATACCTAGGTCAAAATGCATTTAATACACCTAACCTATCAAACATCATCGCTAAGCCTAGCTATCTTAATGTGTTCAGAACATTAATGTAATGTTGCCTACACATGGGCAAAATCATCTCACGACGTGGTATAATACCTGTTGTTTCCTGTCCTGATCACATGGGCTGTCCAGAATCACAAGAGACTCTCAGACTGAGAAAAGAGCAAAATTCAAAATTCAAAAATCCATTTCTACTGAATGTATTCAACTTTCATAATATTGCAAAGTTGGAAAGCTGGAAGTCAAACCACTGTAAGTCAGCGACTACCTGTGTATTTAAAAATCTCTCAGCAGGCCCTGCAGCCTAGTGGTTAAAGTAGTCAGATCCCACATGGCTGACTGTATAGCACAAATCTTGGACCCAGTGGTTTGAAAAACAAGCCAGGCACATGAGGGTGCATGCCCCAAATCCCAACGAGATAGAGAACTGGGGAAGAAGGGATTGCAGTGTGACGCTGCCCCATTGGGGGCTGCTTTCTCCCTCTCCCTTTGTCTCTCTCTGGTGAATTCATGCACCCTCTGGCAAATAAAACAAACAAACTTTACTGGTCTAAGTAAACAAGCATAACCTGCTGAAATAAATCTAGTTTCACTCATTTAGAGCTTTCCTGAGGGCTGCTTTGTATTCCTTAAACATGGTTTCCAGTGCCACAACATAATGCAATAGGGATGACACCAGGGACACTGTTGGTTCCTGTCTCTCTCTGTCTCTGTCTCTCTCTCTTGCATCATTGAGGCAGCCCTGATTGATTACCTGACCAAGGGACCTCCTAAGTCCTTACACTGCATATTGACTCTTAAAAGAATTTCTGATTTCATTTACCAGTTTCCACTGGAAAAAGCCCAAGTAGCTGAAAGCAGTAGTTACAGGCATCTGTGAAATCAGATCAGACGTATCGGCCATAATGGGCTGAATGGCTACTTTGCTCTCCACCCCCATCCTAACTTACTTTTCAGGAACACCACCAAGTTAGTTCACAATGAGCATATTTTGCTGTACTTTTGCTTATAAATAAAGCCAGAAGTCAGAATATAGAAGCCTGGTTGGATCAAGAAATAGATTAATAATCTTTGGCAATTTTTACTTGCAATTTGATTAAAAATGAATTAATCATAAAAAATGAAGCTTGTTCCTTTATTCATTCTCTGTGATCCCTCCATTTCCCCCAAAAGATATCACTGTTCTCCTTAGTCTAGGTTCTTCTTTCTCTTCCATTCTCTCTTCGCTTAATCTGTGCCTCCTCTTTGGAGAAGCAGAGTGGAATGACATGTCACATGTCACAAATAATTTTATCAGCTGGCACTTTCACGGTGAAAATTTTTGATATTTTATTATTAGAAATTACATCTCAGGGTTCAGCCTTCTGGCACAGTCAGTAGCAAACTGGCCTTCAGTGATAGATGTCACATGACTGACTGCAGGTTCAAGACCCCAGAACAGCCTACACACATACTAGGCATATGTGTACATGCCCATGATCCTGATGAGCTGAAGAGCTGTAGGAAGGGGACTGCAGCATGACAAGACCCTATCAAATGTCCTTCTCTCTGTCTTTTTCTCTAGTACACACATGCGGTCTCTATCTAGTACACACATGTGGTCTCTATCATAAATAAAATGAAAATAAACTTAAAAGAAACCTTCACTCGTAAGTAATAGTGTTTGGTTGAGTAATCTAAACAATGTTAAGAGGAGGGTTTTAGTTTGTCAGTTGCATCATATTTTTAAAAATAGAAACGCATGCATTTTATATTAGTTCATAAGTGAATTACTTATTTAATTAATAACTTGCCTTATTTCGAAAGTATTTATGATGTCTAATCTACAAGTGTATCTATTCTTCGAAGGCCTTTCATCTGCTATGAATGAAGGTATTATATAAACAAAAGACAGAAGTGTTGCATTTAAGAAAAGCATAAACAATCCTTAGCAGAAGGTAAACCCAAAAACTTTGACCTTCTGAGTTGAGATTCTTAAGATTCCCAAAGCACTGAATGAATTATTAAATGGTCATTTAATTAAAAGATGATGAACTCATGTTAAGGCTAGATTTTCTGTTGATTTTAGATAGATCCACTGCTCCTTATGTCAACCAGTGGTAGATTTTTTTTTGTCAGGATCGCTCTTTCTTTTTTATTTTTTTTTCTTTTGTCGTCCAATCACACTAGCACCATTTTTTTTTTTGAGAGATTTTCACTGTAGGGCGCGTGCGCTCGCCAGACAGACAGAGAGAGAGAGACATAGAGACAGAAAGCGAGAAATCACCCCCCAGGGGGGATGGTCACGCTGCAATCCTTTCTCCTCCATTCTCCTCTCGGGATCTTGGGCACGCACGCACACGCGCCCGGCGTGAGTTTTAAGCCACCGGGTCCGGGACACGAACCGCGGTCGACTATGTGGGAGTCCAGCGACATAGCCATTATGCTAACTGCTGGTTCCCAGGATCGCTCTTTCTTAATACATTGATCAAAGATATTGTGGATGAGAATGCTGACCTCGGCATGGCTTATTATTATTATTTTTGGAGAGGTTTTTTTCTGTAGGGTACGTGCTCTTGCCAGAAAGACAGAGAGAGACAGAGAGACAGAAAGCGAGAAATCACCCCCCCAGGGTGGATGGCCACACCGCAATCCCTTCTCC